GTTTGTGGGCAGAGTGTGTGAAGCTCTTGCATTGATAACCTGCAGCTCAAAGTCCCTCGGTCTCACTTTGTGGCTGTCCCCATCGCCTGGAACTTCCTCCGTCCCGCTCTGTCTCCTTTCTGCTTCTCGCTCCTCGGACCCTCGTCTGCGGCCGCGCTCGGACCCCTGCCTTTAGCTGTCACCAATGGCGCCCACCTATCAGCTTTTCCTGCTGTTGCTCGGCCTTGTGGGAACTCAGGCCACCTTTGATCATCGCATGGCCGCCGCTATGGGTAAGAATGACCTTTTAACCTCTAAAGCCTGAGCTGAACAGTGAATTTTGTTAAAACAATGAAGCATTTTTTAACGTGGAAACTGGCCGTTTGTTCCAGCAAACAAGAAAATGGTCCTTAAAACTCTTCTTTATCCAGTCTATACAGAGTCTGACTAATAAATCTTCATTTAAAAAACAATTAGAATGAAAAAGGAAACAATTCATTCCACGTTTATTGGACACTTGTGGCTGTAAAGGCAAAAAAAGCTTTATTTGATCATTTTGTGTTTGWAAAATAATACTTTAAAATCATTATTTCATAGTGTGTACAGCTTTATGTGCTATACTAATTTTTGACATTTAATATTATCTTGGAAAGGCTGGTTTGATGTTTTGGGATATTTTGATGAAGCACATTTTTAAAGAAGTTATTTGTCTTTTAGAAATATGTGAAAAAATGTAGGGAAAGATGTTAAATCTGTACAAATTAATGAGTTCATACGAGGATAAACACTGTTTATGCATAAAATTATGTTTATTTTGTACTTTCACAAAATTAAACCTTGTAAATGTAGATTATCTAAGATTTGTAAATAATTCAGCAAACTTATGTACCAATCTTTACTTGTTAAAGCTAAATATACTATACTATAAAAAATGAACTGAATCTGTAGCAGATTTCAGTTTATTACTGAGTTATTTATAATTTCTGTTCCTGCCTCTCGTTTCTGTCACCTTCCAACWCCTTCCACCCTTTTCAGTCTCTTTGTCCTAATTGACCATTTTGAATGAACGTTTCTGTTATTATTTCATCCATGTATTGAATGTGAATGAGTTGTTAGGATGTGATCCCAGTTCTCTCTGTGCAGCGACAGGTCTCTGCAGAACTCGCCCCACGGATCTCGTCTTCATCATTGACAGCAGTCGCAGCGTTCGCCCCTCAGAGTTTGAACAAGTCAAGGTTTTTCTGGCCAAAGTCATCGAGGGACTGGACGTTGGACCCAACTCCACCCGTGTCGGAGTTGTCAACTACGCGAGTCGTGTCAAGAACGAGGTACAGACGTGGTTTTGAATGTCATTACTTGTTTTTTTTTTTGCCCCCAATCACTTCCTATCCCAGTTTTACACGTCCTGTAATGGAACTGCAGGTGTCCCTGAAGACTCACCGCACCAAAGCCGCACTGGTCAAAGCCGTGACGAAAATCGAGCCCCTGTCCACTGGAACGATGACCGGTCTGGCGATCCAGTTTGCCCTGAACGTGGCTTTCAGCGAGGCAGAGGGCGCTCGRGCCAAATCTCCCGACATCAGCAGGGTCCAGCACACGTTTCCCAACATTTTTACACCTGAGCTTTACCCCCACGGGTCAGTTTGTAGCTCACTCTTAACACTTTTCCTTCACAGGTTGCTATTATTGTGACAGACGGGCGTCCACAGGACAACGTGAAGGACGTGGCCCAGCGTGCACGAGACGCTGGCATTGAGATCTTTGCCATTGGAGTGGGACGTGTGGACATGAACACCCTGAAGCAGATGGCCAGTGAATCTCTGGACGACCACGTGGACTACGTGGAGAGCTACAGCGTCATTGAGAAGCTCACCAAGAAGTTTAAGGAGGCCTTCTGTGGTAAGAGTACTGAGCAATAAAGATAAAAAAACAGAATGAAACRGTCAACATTCATAACTTCATCATGTTGGAGATGAATCTGCTGCCCCCCCGTATACCGAGGGTAAGGTGTCATGTTTTATTCCAGTTATTGTGTCCTCCCTTTCGTCCTCTGCTTCTCCTCAACAGGATGGTAATAAATTCATCCAGTCATTTGAAACAGAGTAAAAATTCTCAGCGCGCGAGGACGCCGGGGCAGGAACAATCTTTTGGAACATGATTTTTGCTCCCGCTCTTCAGTCGACTCTCGCATAATGGAGAGGCGAGACTGATCTGTCTGTAATTACCAATTTATTAGTGACGATCATTAAAACGTAATTAGTCGTGCCCTTCGGCTCTCTCGGTCGGCGATAACAGTCGCTGCTGTCTGCTGCTCGCCCATCACACTGCAGACGGTGCTTTCAGAGACGATTGGACAAAGATTTCAAGAAATAAAATCAAAGGAAATTATTTTCAGTCATGTTTTTTTTCAACTGTTTGTTTTAAAGATCCACTTGGATAACATTACAGGGATATGATGTTTTTTAGTGGGGTTTTGTGAATTAGAAATCAATCACCGGTTACATCTGTGACCAGATCCAGATCCAGATCCAGAGGTTGCTCCCTCTTTGACCAGGATAAGTGGCAGAAGATGGAGATGGAGATAACTTTGCATAAGACACTTATTTACTTTGATGCAGCTAAAAAAATTTAAATGCCCGAAAAATTTTGAGATTTAAAAGAATACAGCCAACAAAAAAGTTGCTGTTATGCCATTGTGATGATTAGAAGCTAAATTGCTTTTCTAAAACAAATCCACCATCATTTTCTGCTCATAACTCCGCAGCAAAACCTCACTTTGAAAACTAACCAGTAAAAAATATGTCCCTTCGTATCAGCCGGGGTCAAAGTGGATCTTTAAAAGAAGTTTCCTCCTTTTTTCCTTCCCAAACTCAACCAATCACCCCCTTCCTTGTGTGTTTGCATCCCTTTATATGCCACTGTGTGTACGTGTGTGTTCTGCACGCACACACAGTGTCGGACCTGTGTGACACCGGGGATCACGACTGTGAGCAGGTATGCACCAGCACCCCAGGATCATACAAGTGTGGCTGCAGAGAGGGCTTTACCCTAATGGACGATGGTCGCAGCTGCAGTGGTAAGTGTGTGTGTGTGTGTGTGTGTGTGTGTGTGTGTGTGTGTGTGTGTGTGTGAAGGTGCTTGTTTGGGTTTGTGCTGTCCCGTTAAGATCTTCCGCCCTGTGTGCTGTCTGACACCAGCTGCTTGCAGCAACGCAGCCATAGACGTGGTGTTTGTCATCGACGGCTCAAAGAGCATTCGACCCGAGAACTTTGAGCTGGTCAAGAAGTGGATCAACCAGATCGTCGACAAAATGGACGTCTCCGAGAGCAAGACTCACGTAGGACTCGTGCAGTACTCCAGCCTGGTCAAAACGGTACAAGTCTGCTCTTTAGCTTACAAAGACGAACCGCTCGTTTCCCGTTTTATCAACCAGATCCCGGTTCTGTTCCTCCGCAGGAGTTTCCCCTGGGCCAACACAACAACAAGAAGGATCTGAAGGACGCCGTGAAAAAGATGGACTACATGGAGAAGGGAACCATGACAGGCCATGCTCTGAGTTACATGATGGAAACGAGCTTCAGCCTCTCTCAAGGCGCCCGGCCCGGAGTCCAAAAGATCGGCATTGTCTTCACTGATGGACGCAGCCAGGATTATATTATGGACGCTGCTAAGAAGGCAAAGGAAGAAGGTAAGTACGAGACTGAATCCATGAGTAAGGGTAAACTAAACCCATAGTGACGTGTGTGTGTGTGTGTGTGTGTTGTAGGCGTGAAGATGTATGCTGTTGGAGTGGGCAGCGCAGTGGAGAGCGAACTGAAAGCTATCGCCTCTGAGCCCATCGCAGAGCACTACTTCTACACGGCCGACTTTAAGACCATGAACCAGATTTCCAAGAAGCTGCAGATCAACGTCTGTGGTGAGAAGTTTTCATTGAAACCAAACTTCATTAAACTTGTACAACCCCTGGMAAAAGGTATGGAATCACCAGTCTTGGATGAGCGCTCATTCAGACATTTCATTCTGTAAAACAAACTCAGATCAAAAACATGATACAATAATAAGGTCATTCCAAAGTRCAACTTGTTGACTTTCAGGAACATTCAAAGAAATGAAGAGAAAACATTGTGGAAGTCAGTGAATGTTACTTTTATTGACAAAGCACAGGGAAAAATATATGGAATCACTCAGTTCTGAGGAAAAAAGTATGGAATCATGAAAAACAGATAAACAAAAGACCATTCAAAATACATCATCAGTATTTAGTTGCACCACCTTTGGCTTTTATAACAGCTTGCAGTCTCTGAGGCACGGACTTGATGAGTGACGAACAGTATTCTTCATCAATTTGGTGCCAACTCTCTCTGTTAGCAGTTGCCAGATCAGCTTTGCAGGTCGGAGCCTTCTCGTAGACCATTTTATTTTTCAATTTACTCCACAGGTTTTCAATTGGGTTGAGATCTGGACTATTTGCAGGCCATGACATTTCCCTGTGCTTGGTCAATAAAAGTAACATTCACTGACTTCCTCAATGTTTTCTCTTCATTTCTTTGAGTGTTCCTAAAAGCCAACAAGTTGCACTTTGGAATGACCTTATTATTGTATCATGTTTTTGATCTGAGGTTGTTTTACAGAATGAAATGTCTGAATGAGTGCTCATCCAAGACTGGTGATTCCAGACTTTTTGCCAGGGGTTGTATTATTTGCTTTGACTGGTGAACCTAAACTTCAACTTGTTTTTCCCCCCACAGAGGACCCTTGTGAATGTGACTCCCTCGTAAAGTTCCAAAAGAAAGTAGAAGCAGCTTTACAGGCACTAAACAAAAAATATATCCTTTAAAATGACCGAAACTGGATGCGAAGTAGGATGAAAAGAGGAAATGTTGAAATGTTTTGACTTTCATTGTCTCCGTTTCTGACCTTGACTGAATCTTACTAGAGAGTATGTCGAAGAGGATCGCCTTGCTGGAGAAAAAAATAGTTTGAAGACTCACTTCCTCCTCTTCTCCACATCTGCACCCACACACATGCTCTGCACATTTCTTTTTCTGACTTTGAAGAAAAAAACTGAAGAAGGACCAGCTGGCTGTGCAAACCTAAACTTCCCTGAGCTCACCAGAACCTCTAAAAGCACCTGTCGTCTTCTACGCTCCTTTYCCAGTTCTTCCACAGAGACCACACCTGGATGAAGACATGATGTCCAGAGGTTGTCCTCCAGAGCCAAACTGTGTGTTAATAAGTCTTCGTCTTTGCCACAAAGAGCCTGTGTCGTGTCAAACGGAGCCATGCATCACCGTCACTTCTGTTTCATCTTTACCCTCTTTTCTTTACACTCCACACAAAAATATATACATATACAGGTAAATTAATATAAGATCTATGTCTGATAAGAATACACTAGTGATGTTTATTTTCCTAAATAAAGGTGATTCAGGAAGTAAATAAAGTTGTGTTGTGACACCATTCTGTGAGATATAAGTTAACAAACACAATTATTTATATATCTGTATTAGGGTTGGGCGTAATCATATCGTGTGCAATTAATCGTCAGAAAAATATTAATCGATTACTTTTTGGCACTTGACGATTAATATGATTGATGCCACCAGGCAGAGTCCGCTCGGTGCTCCTCTCTGCTTCAAATATGACCAACATTAAAAAAACGTTCTGTAATATATTTATCTATCGACACAATTTAAAATTTGATGTATAGCCTAAAGTCTGTAATTTTGACACAATTTGGAACAGATTTTTATGAAGAGCAAATCTTTCCCACTAAATTGGTCATGTGACCAGGACATAAGGGTGTCCAGGGACTCCAGGGCATTAATCATCAAATTAATCGTTATCGGCTAAATACCATAATTAATCGTGACTATTTTTTTTGCCAATATTGCCCAACCCTAATCTGTATGCAGTTTATCTAATATAAAGGAGTGTGTATGATTAATGTGCATCAAGTACTGAACTTAAACTCAGAGGTGAAGTTGAGTATTTTATTTACTAAGTAAGCAAAACAGCATACTGTATCAGCTCAGTGTCAAAGAGCCCCACATGGTCATGATTTGTGTAAAATAAAAAACAGATCAAATGGTTGATGCAAAAAAAACCCACAAATCCTGAAAAGAAAGTAAATAAATTAAAAGCGCACTGAAATGCATTGTAAAACAGAAGCAACATCAAGACAAATATATATATATATATATATA